ATATATATATATATATATATATACATATATATAATTGTACCTCTTTTAGGCATAAACTCTTAAACGATATAGAGAGGTACGCTTCGCGAAAAAGGTGATTCTTGCTCCTTTAATCATTATCGTTACTATTACTATTTATTATTAATTATTAATTATTATTATTATTATATTATTATTAAGGGCACTCCAGGTATCCTCCGCGACGCAAACGATGTGTACCGTGTGATTACATTTGTATTTATTCTAGCGGCTGGAGTTACAGGTTTTTTTTTTTCATTCGTTTGTCTGTGTCAATACTGTATCAATTCATATTGCTGCTGTGTGATCATCTGTGCCCCCGTTTTTATTATCCCTTTTTTCCATATTTTTACTCCCATTCTCTTTCCTCTTTTTCCCCGTTTGGCTATGCTCTTATTTCAACTTTTCTTTTGACCCTCCTACCTTTCATCCCCCTACCTGATCAGCCAATCTCACTTGGAACATCCTCGCATCTACGATGACGATTGATCTTGACACATCCAATTTCTAACTTACTCATCCACGTACAAATTACAGTACGCGTTCTTCTGCTTTGTGTGTCATGCGTCTCTCTCTCTCTCTCTCTCTCTCTCTCTCTCTCTCTCTCTCTCTCTTGTATCCGAACTCCCCGTGCCGTTTTAGTGTATGAGTGTAATATATACCTTTCCTCATATTGTGTTTCGTTAACTTACCGCGCGTATTGTATTTGAAAAAAAAAAAAAAAAAATGTTCTTTTCATCCCTTCATTTCGTTAGCAACACGTAAAAGATTTTCGTCGTATTATATCACCGTTGGGTTTACAATTTCTAACTATATATCAACTCGGTTGTATCTCCTTGTATTTAAAAAAAAAAAAAAAAATGTTCTTTTCATCCCTTCATTTCGTTAGCAACACGTAAAAGATTTTCGTCGTATTATATCACCGTTGGGTTTACAATTTCTAACTATATATCAACTCGGTTGTATCTCCCTTTCTTTTTCTTTATCCTTTGCCCATACTCTCTACGTCATAACTCTACGTCTCTCACTCTCTCGACCCTTGTATCGGATCTGAATTATTTCGCAGATTATTAATTTTTTTTTTTATTTTCTGTTAACCTTAGTATCACATTTTTGAGAGAGCAGACTCGCCCGATGTATTCCCTCCTGACGAATGAATTGATCAACGCCAGATTCGGGAGTTACCGTGAATTTTCTTTCGTTTATCATGATAACGAGAATCTCTCAGTCGCAAATTGTCGCTATACGTATTATCACGAAGTTGGGTTTGATTAAGGTCGTGATAACGGCTACTGTTATCCAATTGGTGGAATTGCGTTGTCTCGGTGGATGGTCTGTGCGATCGGATCGGTAATTGAGAGAGGAGACTATCGGTGTGAAGTTAAGTGAAGATAAACAAGGAAGGGATAAAGGATTCTTGATAGATAGATAGAGACAGACAGACGGATGGATGGACGTATGTAGAAGTAACGGACGTGGAAGAGAGAGAGAGAGAGAGAGAGAGAAAGTGGATGGAAAGAAGAGAGGGGAAAAAGAAAAAGTCCATCGTCTATTCCGTTGATCGAAGTGTGCCGTTTCCGGTTGGTGATCTTGAAGAAAAAGCAATTTCCGGCGACGTGGCGCTGGCTACTACGTAAACGCAATACACTGGGCGAATGTGCTCTCTGTTTTCTTTGCTTTCTTTTTTAACCTTCTTTGTTTAACAGTACGTAGATATTCTGATTATGCTTAAGGTATTTCGAGACGCAAGTACACTGACCGGATCGACGTGAGGGGGGAGCCGGGAAGGAGCAAACGAGAATGAAAATATATCGGACGGAGAAAAAGAGAAGATGTATTGCGGAGGCGAACGCAAGAAAAGAGAGAGGAACGTTGATGAATGCGAAAGAAAAAACGGAGTGACAGAAAAGAAGAGGTAGAGTACTGACAAAACGTGCGTCCATTATTACTTATTTTGTCAAAGACATTCATTATCATTTACTTTTTTACTCGTTACTTTTTAATCTTTAATTATGTTTTTTTTTCCATTTGTATCCATTTATTTTTATTTTCATATACTTTGTAGATTTCTGTGTGATTTTTTCCCCCTTTAGTTTAATCAAACACTCTCGAGCCCTTCTCATCATTACGCGTATATTTTTCCTCCTTTGCCTTATTATACGCTCCCTCGTTTGTTCTTTGGTTTTCTTTCTCTTCAACCATTCGTCCCGTGCGCCCAGGCGCTCATTTCATTCGGTACCTTCAAACTTTAGCTTTGACTCGTTCCCCTACAGCCCTTTTCAAAATTCAAAAAAAAGACCTCCATCGTTTCGGGAAAACGCTATAATTTTTGACGTTGTCGTGTGCGAGTCTTTCGACCATGTTTTCTACATCCCTTTTTCTTCGTCCTGACTACGCTCCTTCTTCTAGAATGAATATACGATTTCGTCTCGACGGATTACCAGTGAATCATCTTATTTCACGGATTTATTGCTAACCGGCGATCTTATAAATGAAAATAAGTTGCGTGATCGGTCGTCGTCTTGGAATTTGACGCGGGGTGCTAACGAGAGCCAACGAGAGAATTCTTTTTTTTAAATTTCTTTCGTATATTTTTCTCAGCCTCTGTCTCCCCCCCCCCATCTTTCTGATTAACCAGGTGTCTATCAAGGTTAGAATCCAAGCGCGATGGCAATCCGATTCGATTTCGTTGACGACACAAGGATGGGAGGGTGACATTGAGTTAGACTGAAAACTCCAGGAAGGATAGGAATCCGGACAGGACCTAAGGGTGGAACGTAACCAGGTGAAAAGAGGATTCGTGACACCCGGGAGAGTAAGACGGAACCAAAAGTAAAGAAAAGGAAAAATAAAATATATGGCTTTCCAAGAGTGTAAATGTAGACACTGATAATTCTTGCAATCGACTGTACCACGTGTTTACAATATTACGTTAATAGTAGTAGTATGTAGACTGTTCAAGTTTTTATTTTTTTTTACCTTCTTCCCTATTTTTTCCTATTTCAGGGTATCGAGGATGTATAACAGATGTCACGTAGGGTGTCTGTCGGGTGCTGTTTGATCGAATTGAAATTGTAGGAGGAAGCTGAAGTGGAGGTACGGTGTAAGAAAGTTGATGAAAAAGAAAAAAAGACGGACGTGACTGAATCAGTAGCCAATTTTGAAATGGGCAAAGGACGGCTGGGCGTTAGGCGGTGGACGGTTCCCGTGAAAGAAGGATGAAACCAGCAGGGAGTGGTTCGCGTTGACTCGTGTGTTCCCTACCCCAATTTCATGAAAAAATAAAAGGGGAAACAAGGGGGGCAGGACATAAGAACGAAAGAACTCTCCGATTCACTCCTGAGATCAAATCCCACCAGGTATTGGGATGTCTGCCGCGATAGTTCTGCAACAACCAATATGATTGCATTAATTTAACTATGTATATGTACGTAGTAAGCCCATTGTTGATACAACAATGACTAGTATTAATATGTTTTAATATTAAAATTCGCGGCTTGCCTTGTTGAAAATATTTCACGGCTTGGTCGCTGATCGGTGGGATTTGATTGTTCGTGAAAACTGGAGAAAAAGATCGTCTTACATCAAACATTGAAAATGATCTTTTGCGCTGCTTCGTTCGTGGCTATGACTTCCGTTTTTATATTTTCGCCTAATCCCTCCTTTTTTTATCTTTTCTCCCTTCCTCTACAGATAAAAAAAAAAAAAAAAAAAAAAAAACAGAAAGGGAGAACATCTCTCAATCGTCATCCCTGCCGATTGTTCGTCTCGTTGGCGATCGTTTATCACTCACACGAAGTGTCTAGTAACACGTACTATCTTAACACGTAGCTGCCCGATCAATCGTTAATTTCATATGTGCGTTCGCGAGCTTAAAGGTACCCACGTGTTTCGATAAACGAGCTTTCAGTACAAAAATCGAGGAAAAAAGCCTGTTCCTTTTATTTTCTTGCCTATCGCATGAAATTCGCAGAGAAATCTTTCAAGTTCATGGTTGGCGTAGATATACAGGTACACGATAGACACACCGAATAAATGACTTTCGCCAAAGTTCGCCATTGTCTTGTAAATGTTCCTCCCCTCCCCCAAAGTTCCTTCGTTTATTCAGACATCACTCGTTAAGCCTTTTTTGTATATCAGTCTATCTAACTCGTCTTAAAGCTACGCGCAATACCACGGTTCTTCGTTCCTAATAACTGAATGTAAAATGTTCTTCCCTCCGTATTTAGGTTTTTCCTCTACTCGTTAATAACGAGAAAGTCCGATGTCATCGACGAGCGGGAAGTCCTCGCATACGGTAGACCTTTCAAAAGGATCGCTTAATGAGAGTCCATTTTGAGAAGGAGAAGTCCATCCCATAAACGAGATCTTTGGGGCTGGTCGGATCGATCTTTCTTCGAGACACAGCCTCACGGTTTGGGGATCGTTCATCTTTCCATTTCCACTGATCTTTAGTTTCTTTCAAGTCATACTTTTTGTCGATACCACTTTCGGCCAATCCTTTTTCCAGGATTCAATCCTCTCATGCATTCCTAGTTCTTTTTTTCCTTTCATTCTCCTGAGCATCCTCACTTATACTTGATTTATCTTTATCCTTCCTTCTCTCTCACTCTCTCTTGTCACGTATATTCAAACCCTGCGCTCACTCTCTCTCTCTCTCTCTCTCTCTCTCTGTTTCTTTCTTACCACATATCAGGTTCGCATTCATTGAAATTCTCTTCACTCACAGCGCATGTGCCCAAATTGTAATTCGCACTAACAGTTGACGTTGATACACCAGGGACTTACAGAATTTGTACTCTTTGAACGTGTATGAGACAATGCAACGTATATACCATAATATGAGTTACTTAATTCATTTTTTTTTCATCTTTTTCTTTAGTACTTATTACATTATAATATTAACGTGTATACCCTCGCACGCGTCTTTTCCTCCTGTAATATTTTCAATTACTATTCCTTATCGCTCGTTATCTTTCCCTTTGACCGTTTCGTGTATATCTCACGTGTTATATTAATAGCATGTGTCTTGTATTACTCTTTCTATATGTCGGTACTATTTACTGTGTAATGAATGGATGTACGGGCGTGTACGTTTGTGTGTATTATATCAGAGTTGGACATACGTGTTTCTTTGAGTTTACTGATAATTAATATTAATAGTAGTAATTAATAAATCTGCCTTCAACTAATAAGACATACTCTTCTCGCACCAAAGACAATTCGTTTATCGTAATGAGAGAATCGCATTGATCTCGCGATTCTTTTGGAGTTTCTCTGCCCCTTTCCTTTTGATGTCTACCGCTTTATCTATTTTATACGCTACTCTCAACCTCTCTCTCTCTCCCTCTCTCTCTCTCTCTCTCTCTCTCTCTCTCTCTCTCTCTCTCTAACCATTATATTTTTACGTTGTCTCAACCTCTCTCTCTCTCCTCGCATTGATCTCGCGATTCTTTTGGAGTTTCTCTGCCCCTTTCCTTTTGATGTCTACCGCTTTATCTATTTTATACGCTACTCTCAACCTCTCTCTCTCTCCCTCTCTCTCTCTCTCTCTCTCTCTCTCTCTAACCATTATATTTTTACGTTGCTTTTTTCACTTTTATCTCGCACTCTTATACATTCTCACGTTATCCCATTGGTTGCTTTGACTTTCACACTTTTGCTCTTTCTTCGCCTGCAGCATAACATCACCACCCTGTAGTCCCTTTTAATTTCCATTTTATCTCTTTAGTAAAAATTTACATTAGCCACTTCTTCATGTACTCTTCCCATAATTGGCGTGTAGTCGCGTGTATAAGCTATTTTTATGCGACCGACTACTGACTGAATAGCGAACTTCCATTAACGGTACAATTTTTTTTCTTCACGCACCACTTTTATAGCTTCTAGCCCTTTGTTGCTTTTTGACAACTGACTTAATCGCATTGTGTTAAAATAAAGATGTATGGGGATAATAAACAACGTAGAATATTCACGTGCCACGTTAGGGATGTAGTGACGTAAGCAAAGAAGTGGCTCCTCGCTTTTTTAAGGATACCTGCCATTTTAGAAAGAAAAAAAAAACCCTGAAAATAAATAAGGTCTCGAACGTAGCCACACGTACCGCAAATAGAAGCTTGACAAAAATACAAATGGAAAAAAGGTAAAATAAATATAAATAATTATATCAAGATAAAGAAAGAAAGCAATATAGCCGCGGCTTTCCGTCGTTTCGACTTCGCTTTGCCGAAGAACCTTTCAAGACACGGTGCCGCAAGTGAATTAAAGAAATCCGCGTTTAATCATCCGTGTACACACTGGTGTCATCTACAGGCGTGACGCGGTATTAATACAGTACACAACGATGATAAGGTTGTTTCACGTAAAAGTTAAAAAAAAAAATTAGCGAACAAGAAATACAAATTAAAAATCAATGGATACAGTTTTCTCTCTTTTTTTTTCTGTCGCGCATTTTTTACTCCAATTGTTGTCTCGGACGATAATCTAAAATAAGGTAGCTCTACAATTATTCAGTTTTTTTTTTTTTAATCTCCAACGCGGAGATAATTTTTTCTTCCTCTTCTACGTCTTCCTTCTGCTCAAAAATTTTTTTTTTTTCCTTTCAAAATTCAAACCTCTAGCAGCACTCTCATATTTGACAAGTCCTACCGCGGGACGTTCGAATTGTATTTTTCTCAATTTTCTCATGCCTCCCTTTCCACGACTTTCACTCTCGCGTATTCGCCCTCTTTCTGACCCTCATCTTTCGTGTTTCTAGAAAGTCTAAGATCCTTTACTTCCTTCAGCCTCTCGCTCCCCTCTCCTCAGAGCATCCCACACCTTTCTCATACAGACATTTCCTATACCCCCTTCATCGTATCATTCCCCCCTTCATCGTATCTTCCTGTCATTCTCTTCTCTCTAGCGTTCTCAATCACAAATTTTCAATTCGACATAACTTTAAAAATATTTACAATAATTTTACACATTAGCATTCAATAATTTACACATAATGCTTCGCGGTGCTTGGCACGGTCATTTCCTGCCGCGCTTACTCATATATATCCGCCTTGGCTCCCCTGAGCGTTCGCTTTTCCTCTGCCATTATAATTCAACGTTCGCTTCGTACTTCAGTTGTCGCATCGCTTTCCACTTGTATAATTAACGCGAAATCCTCGTTCACGCATTTAAAAAGATATAACCCAACGACGTGTCTCTCCCTTACCCGTCGTGTTATTGTGTCGTACGAATAATGCTCTGTCGCACGTAAATAGGTATACATAGGGTAGCTCTGCAGTATTGGCGGTAGGGATTCAGATGAGCATTCCTTCTGGTTTCGTCACTCCATTCGAAAGATTTCTCTCAAGGAAATAAATTCCTCCCAATCTCTTGCTCTCTTGCTCTCTCGCACACATGCACACCCTCCCTCTTTTTCCTTTTCCATCCTTGTCACTCCTTACGCTCCTCTCTCAAAACCGCACACGCATCTATATACTCATACGTATATATGTACATATTGTATGCAGAGACATACATACAAAAACAGCGTACAGGTTCTTAGGGCCGCAAGGTAAATATACATATATGTACGCATTTGTATATAAACATGTTCCTCCTGGTAGTCCTTTCTCCCTGTCAATGCTAGCAGCACTCACGTCTTGCAGGCCTGATGGAGTTCTTTTTTTCAGATGCTCCCTCTCCACCTCCTGCCGCCCCCTAGCCGCCTCTTTATCTAGAAAAAAAAAAAAGAGTCGAAAATACAGTCGATGTATATTTTCATTTCTTAAGTACAGTCAAAACTAAAAATTCTTTTTTCCAGTCAAGCGTTCCTAACCTCGCTGGAGCGATCGAAGCGGCGGAAAAGAACGCGAAGCTTAAATACGTCATGCGGGGTTTATGTGTTCCAACGCCAGCTGGAAAACCGTGAGTGAGGAAATTTCGGGAGTGCCGGCGATCGTTACCAGCGTAGAAGGAAAATCCCATTAGGACGGCAGACAAAGGGTGGCCCTAGGTTGGTTTAGTACACGGGGCAAAAAGGACCTCGGCGAAAGCCTGCACGCGGTTCTAGGTAAATGTATATACGGGTGCGTGTATGTATATATACATACATATGTACATACATAACAGAGGAATATAAGGGTGCCGAGCCAGTAGGAGCCCATCGCCGGAGATTCCTCCTCTTTTCATATCTTATTCAAAACAATAAAGTATGTTTAGCTTGAGCACGGTAAATCCTGCTTGCCGCAGCAGCGGCGGCAATGGATTTGACGTTGGGGGGTTCGAGGAGGAGGAAGTACGGAGTAGGCGGGCGGGGGGGGAGGAAGGAGGAGGTTTCGGTACAGCAAGAGGAATGCTAAAACCAGGAGGGATGGTATCGTTGGGTTCTGAGACACGTGTTGTACGAAACAGCCCAAAACCCCTTCAGCCTGGTTCTGAAATATACAGCCACCCCCCGCCCCACGTGCCGCGTATGTATATTCCAGCATCAGCAGTAACGGGGTTAACGTTACCAGTGGGGGGCGCAGAAGAGGCATCAGTACACACGAACCCTCTCGAAGCTAACGTACTCAAGTGACGACGTCACGAGAACCGAATAGCAGAAATTTACTAAAGGACATTTGCCATTGGGTACGGGGTATCCATCCACCCCTGTATACCTTAAAGCCTAGCCACCAACCCCCTCAAACTATTACACCCTATTTAATCCTCCCTTCCCTTGAATCTACTCTCTTATTTTCTCCACGCGAATCGACGCCCACGTGTTATTTCTCTTTGTTTCATTTTTACTTTGTACAACAGCAGCTATATTCCAACCCTCCCCGTTTCGGTACCCTTATACCCAACGTTCCACATCTCTCTTGTCTTCGAGCTTTTTCAACCCCTGCACGCTGCTGCAAGGGTGTTATTTATACGGGCACTCCGCGAGATCGCTTGAATTTTCTTCGGAGCATCGGTCGAACGACGTTTACGAGCGTCTGCTCGATCCACGCTCGAGATCTCGTATATTATCCTAGAGTTTCTTGGAGTAAGAAGAGTTGGAGAGACGAAGTAGGATGGAGGAGAAAGAAAGAGAGAGAAAAAAAGGTGAAGGGCTGCGCGCTCCACGCGCTTAATATATCGCCTCGTTACTCGAGGAGTACCCTGGAAACTTCTTCTACAGACTTTCTTCCCGATTAATTGCATCGACCACGACTTTTCCACCCTCTCGACAGGATGGAGCGAAGAGAGAGAGAGAGAGAGAGAGCGGCGGGGTAAAAAGAAAATCGTGCCAGACGCACGCAGTGGTTAGAACCACGACAAAAAAGGAAGCGCGACTGAGTGGGGGAAAAAAAAAATAAATCACGAGAAAACACAATGAAGGACGGTTACGTACCTAGAGATTGTCCATCATTTCGGAAAGGGTCAACCTGGAGGTGGACATCGTGACGCCGCTGTCGCTGCTGCTCTGCACGCTGCTATGGTCATCCGTGTCCGACTGGTTGCTCGTGTAGCCAATCACGTCCACCTCATCTGTAAAAGCGAATCGACAGGTGCTAATTAGAAATCCGGCTGGTGTCGGTATTGGGCACAAAAGATAGAAAGGGTGGCGCGCATTGAGGGTCCGTGTGGTATTTGTGAGGGAGGGATGTACGGGAGGGGCGGTAGGAGCGCGAGAATGAGAGAGAAAGAAAAAACGGATGGCACGTCAAGTGGTACCAGAGAAGAGAGAGATAGATCGATATTCGGGGGGACAGGAAAAAAATCGTATTCAAATCCGGTAACAAGTGCGATTTTTTTACCCATTAAATTCGAGAGGCTAGCAGGTTCAATACCTGGTGCTCATAAACACCAAAACAATTTCGAGCCGAAGCCGTTCGCGAATTTTATGCGGAATCGATAATGCCGCTTCCAAATACCGATACGCGAGCTGCGTTCTTATATGATATAGATATATCTATATGTTTTCAGCTGCATATAAGTGTGGATGCATAACCAAGGAAATCTATATATGCATCTCCTATGCAAGGATCCCTCTTCCGTCCCTCTCCATTCACCCAGACCCGTCTGCTTGCTTATGGTCGCTTGTATACATTACACCAGATGCATCTAGTGAACCCACCTTCTCTGACGGTTGAAGGATCAGAAATTGGTGTCCCTTTGAAAAACATTCGTATCGGTATCACACAAGCAACCTCAGTGGGAACATAAATTTTGCGGGACTCGAAGTAAGTCTGCTCGTTACTCGTGACTTCGTTAAACAGTCGCTGGGATATAAATGAATGAGAACAAGTAAAAAGAAAACGGAGAAGGAAAAATATCGCTTCGACGAACCGTCTCGATGGAAAGTTCAATGTAAATTCCGAATGGCAGCATTAGTCTATATAGGTATACGTACGCAGTCTGGATGAACTTGGAAAACTGTTAGTGATTTGATATCTATACGCAGGTAAATATGCAGGCAGAATGCAGGAGTGGCGAAGTACGTAGGGTACGCGGTGGAGCGACAAGGAGATATAGAGAAGGAATGAAAGAGAGAGATAGATGGAAAGAGTATAAAAAGAGATCGGTAAAAGCAAGAACGAAGGTAACGGTAGCCGACATTTCGCAATGTGCAAACAAAACCTCCGATCCTTCACTTCCACGCGGTGCAAAATATCAGCAACTTTTGTCTCGTGATATATATCCCCGGGTCCACCCTCCTCGCTTTTATTTCTATATCCATTGTCGCATCCGGCCGGTACCGCTGCCGCGTATAAATTATCGGAAAGATTTTATCGCGGCAGCAAATAAGAATATTTCGCTATTCCGTGGGGTCGGGTGGTGGTGGTGGTGGTGGTGGTGCTCTTGCGAATAACGACGTGCTCCGCCATCCCTTTAACGTTCCACCCTTCCCCGCCATCCGTACGTCCTCCCCACAATTCACTAAACCAGAGCTTCGGAGACCTCTTTGCAAAACGGTACCAGCCACGCTGACCTGATCCTCTTCGCGATTTTCACCCTTATCCCCCCAGCTGCCAGAAGGGGAGGACGACGAGGTCACTGTCGTCGTCGACCAATCCCGAAGGTGGGACTTTGCTTTATGCTGGGAGGAGAGTAAAAGAAAATTACAGAAGAGGGTAGGTAGAGGAAATATTCAAAGTTAGGTATTCAATATATATATACACCCAGGGCTGGGGGCTGCAGGTATTATGCGAGTGTGATTCCCACATACATGACAGATCCTAATAAGGGATGACAGCGCCCGATGGTCGTTCTCATGGGAAGAACTTGGTACGTTCGTAAAATTTGGGGGGAATCCCACAGAGAGAACGAAATTCATTTTTCCTCTCTGAAATCCAATATCGAGCTGCGTACAATAAGTATTAAGTTTCGCAATTCGTATCATGAATATTTACTGAGCGAATGCTTTGAATATGATATTGATGCTTAATATTCGCAAAAAGTGCCAGAGAGTTGACCTGCTGACTTTGTTGCTACGACGTAGCACCATTATCAAGAATCGACAGTATTTCAGGAATCAAAAGTTCGTGGGGGCCTGGCTGAGCCCGTGCGCACGTCTCAATGGTACAGAGATCCGGTACTGGAAATGCATGGTAGATAAATAAAAGTCATCGGATCCCAGTCGAATGCGTAAAAACGTCGGATTCGGCTGCCATAGAGATAGCAGACGGTATACGAGAGAGACTCTACGAGGGCTGAGAGAAAAGAGAGAGAGAGAGAGAGAGAGAGAGTGAGTGAGATAGGCGGGGCACGACGAAATATCGCGTATCGCCGCGTCGCGACAGCTCGGTACGCGATTGTTTTTACTGGCAGTGGAATCGTAAAAATGTCAAGTATATAGCACACGTGGTAGTAGAAGAAAAAGGTAGTCGATGAAAAAAACATGTAGGTAAGTATGTCACGGGCTAAATATATACGCTCTCTACACTTCGTTAAAAATATTCTGGCATCGGCTGTCAAAACAGGAGGCTGCCGCGAATATGGAAACACGCCGTTTTGCTCGGTTCGCCTTGTTTACGTGTAACGGCCGAGGTACATCCCAGTAAGTATCTACACGGTGACCAGGAAGAAAATGAGTCTGGTGCCTTGCCGGAAGTACCATCGCGGGAGGGTTGTTCCCGGGAACGAGGTCTACCGAGTAAATTACTATGTGGTATACCAGCTTGCTAGATACAGGTACGGTGTATACGGTTAGGTGTACGTAGTGGAAACTCGTAGAGGTAGGTAGCTGAGGTACGTACGGAAGGGTGTAACGTAATATGAGAAATGGCATGTAAGAGAGAGGAGGAGATAGTAGGAAAGAGTGAGAGCGAACGAGGAAGGAGAGACGAAGCTCCGAGGACGAGAGAAGTTCGACGCATGCATTTTGCGTTCAAATAATTAAACTTTACGATCCTGCCGGTTAATTAGAGCCAACAGAGGCAACCTCGGCTGTGGATAATGGTTAATTCCATTTTAATGATGCCTTTAGTTCCGTCACATTTCGTCCGACCTGGAACCTACCGAATTCCCTGGAATCGCGACAAGGGATCCGCTACACGCGTGTAAAGCTTACGTAATTCAGGCCAGTGTATGTATACCCGGTGTATTTAAAAAATATTATTTATATACAGGTTACATGCATTGTTCGTATATGTAACAAGCATGTACGTGCATATACGTTTACTACAGGTATCACGGTTATACCGAAGTGCCATCAAAGCCTTTAAAGATTATACTCTTAGATGTGTATTTAGTAGGACACCCGGTATGCAAGCGCATTTGCATCGATGCGCAGATGAGTGGAGTTGACGAATGCGTGCTCGTCCAGGCATTCGTCAGTGTCTTGTCCGTTAATTTCGCTAACTGTGTGAGCGATGAGCGGATGCCCCAGGTCCGACACTGCTAGATTGCGAACGGCGACGTATCCTCGTGAGATGCGCCAACCTCCTGCAGCCTCCTGCAGCCTCCTGCAGCCTCCTGCAGCCTCCTGCAGCCTCCTGCCGCTGCAGTTCTCCGACAGCCTGAACCCTCCGAAAGCGGCGAGGAGCTTTCTCCAATGTCTTTTTACGCTCGACGGAAGGAAGTGAAGTCAGGAGGTTCTATCGAGGCGCATCAAGAGATTCATCCATTCGCTCTCGAGCGACGTGCATAAGGGCGCAGAAGGAGAAATAAGGACACAGAGCGTAAGCGATCGAGTACCAAGTTTCTCCCGAGTTGGTACCCATTGCTATACGTATACGGGATGAAACTATAATCTGTTTTTAAGCGGAGGCTAATGGTCCTATTTATTAGAATGATTAGGTTAAGTGCAGGTTCGGTGCAGCCGTACAGGTATATTAAGTACGGCATTAGCGAGTACTGAAGTTACTTGATGGCAGAGGATACAGATAGGAAAAGTTAAACTTTCGCGTAGAACTGGTACGTAACTGTTTGTCCATATGTATATTCAGCTATCCTTACGAATACGTATGTATATTACAGTCGGAGAAAAAAGTATGATAAAACCAACGCAGCTCGGATGCAGTCAAGTGAAATTTATTTGCTTCCAGTGAATTTTATGTGTATCAAGTTATTATGAAGTTTATTGAACGAAAGCTGCACTGTTATCTTAACTCCGTAGTTACGGGTAAACATCATCTGACTGAGTTCATTGAATCGTCTCTTTCAATGCATATACACGCGCGTGTCTAGGGACTTTGGTTATCAGTCACTCCTTGTCACTGTTAGTCACCCTTGTATTTCAGGTAGGACTTCTGTCGATCCGGAGTCATCCCTGTCCCATCGTATATATCCACAACCAGCATCCCCAGGAAAGTCATCCCTTCCCGAGGTCCCCATAGCTACCCCCCTTTTTCCGGCACTGTGGCAAGATGGGAGACGGGAAATGGCGGAGAGAACGCATTTCCTTTCCGCTAACGAGAAATCGTAAGCGCAAAAAATCCACGGACCCCCCAGGGGTAACGTTGATTGCACTCGTCTGATCTATACAGGGTGTCCACCGAGTACGGTGGGTATACTGAAAATACTACAAGTACCAGGAACGCATTACTGTCATCCCTTAAATAATCTCGAGGCGCACGAGACACAACAGAGACACTTTGGTCCTATAGCGATTACCTCAGGGTACCTCCGCTCCTGGTTTTATCACCAAACTTCTTCCATGGGATTCCGTACCGTATATATCCTTCAGACCCCGAAGCTTAAAGTCGACTTCTCCCGGGTCGTCTCCAAACCTGCATTCAGGATGAGCACAGTTTCGCAACGAGGATCAATGGTCTGTAATGTTCATAGAGCTAGAAAACACTTGTTTCCTAATTGAATGACGTCCCTTCCTTTCAATGCACACGTGGTTGTATTTGACGTACTGCATATATATGTATACCAGTCTTATAATGCAACAACAATTTGAACCAGGAAGCAATCTCCAGACGGTCGTTTCTATGACTTACTAGAAACACGGTGCTACGAGTATGGAATATATGATATATAGTATACATATATGTCGCTATCACTGCACGAAATCCTTTACACTTTGGTTCTATGTATAA